ATAAATTTAATTCACTATTCACAGACTGAGAGAGACTGAGAGAGAGAGAGAGATTTTGAAGTTTTAAATAATAGCTTAGCGTTTGGTTGTGTTTTTCGAAATTGAATTATCCGTTCACTCATTCACTACTATTATAAAACATATTTTCAATAATTAGTGTACACTTTGATAGATGAGGAAAAGTCACGTAAATTTCAAACACAACTATTTTTTCGCTCAGTCTTTGCCCACACATTAATGAAATTATATATCGATTGTGTTTCAATTAAGTCCATTAATTGCATAAATAGCGCATTAATGAGGTGTTAAACACAAACATTTCATTTTCTGAAACATTAAAAAATAGTTTTCTATAATTTCATTAATAGTTTAATAATTACGCCATCGAATCGTTGTTTGATTTTACTTAACGTTAGTTAAAATATTAATAAAATTTTCATTATTTTCTATCTATAAATGAAACTTACTTATGACTTTATGAATACAATAAAACCGAGTGAATGGCATAGGTTATAAACAAAAATACACTGAACTCGGTATAAAAACTATTGTTTTCAGCAACAAATCAATAAAAACTGATAACTGTTACCGTAAAAAGATAAGTTTTAAGCAATGTCTAAATTACGGGAAAGCAAAAAAAAGTGCAAAAGTGTTAATACAAACAGGATTTAAGCTAATCATGAGCTGTACTGACAGGACATCATCGACTGGTACACAGCTATCAGAGCAGCGAAGTTCCGATACTTACAAATCGCTTTCCCGGAGAGTCCTATCGGGGAACTCATCACTCATTTGACCCGCGATTTTGTCAAAGAGGGCTTCCTATGGAAGACCGGCCCCCGAGTCAGCGACTCCTATAAGAAACGGTGGTTTGTTTTGGACGACAGGAAACTCATGTATTTGGATCAGCCTTTGGTAACAAATACAGAAAAAAAATCTTATATTTTATTATTTTATTGAAATATTATTGTCTGACGGCCGGCCGGGTGTCAAATAGGAGGCGTTCCCGAAGGGCGAGATATTTTTAGGTGATTCCGACGAAGGATTTATTGTGAAACAAGGAGTTCCGCCTGGAATGAAGGAACTGGAGAACGGATACTCATTCACTTTAGTCACTCCGGGTCTGTCATTATTAGACTTTTGAATATATTTAATGACGAGTTATTGAAAATGTAATTTAATGATTGACTAGAGAGGACCTGGCTGTTTGCGGCGTCGAGTACGGACGAGCGCCAGTCGTGGATGAAAGCGCTCGAGTCGGTGATAAACCAGACGTCTTCGGCGCCCACCGAAGCCATCAAAGAGACGGTTCGCAACGATTTACGCAACTCTTACGCCAGAAAGAGCAGAGGTTCCCAATCCTTACACAAATCCATACACAAAATGAGCTCATTTTTTAAATTATCGTTTCAAATATAGATTCAAAAATTTTGAATCAACTCAAAAGGCTTAAAGAGAATATTGTCAAATAAAATCATCGCTTCATAATCAACTATATATGTTTTTTTTGTGTCATTTAATTTATAATTATTTTATCGATATTTCGTCAATAAATATGGGCTTTCTTATCAATTAATGGACTATTATTTATAATAATATTTAAACACGAATTCGTGTGAGAAATGTTTGACAGAATCAATGAATTATCAAATGATGAATAACTTTATAGAAACTGTTGTGTCGACCAATAGATTGCAGTATTGAATGCATTTGGTATAGGAATCGTATAATGAATATACAGCACAAATAGATATTCTCAACCAATTCTTATATAACTTTAAAAGTTATTATTATGTATTTATATTATTGTTAAATGAAAATATTTTTATTTGTATAAACATCTTAAAAATGGGACATATTTTGAAATGTGATATTTTTAGTTCTTTATGGTGTTTGCGAAAAATAATTCAAAACTTTGAAACTCTTGTTTTTCCCAGACTTTGAATATGTGTGTGAATATTGTATGCAATGAATAAATGCATTGTAAGCTAAGACCTGACATAACAATGAAATCAATTTATGAATATATTATATAATATTGACTGTAATGTGAGCCCTAGTCTTAGTACATGTAAAGCAAAGCGATTCCTAAATACAATTATTAGCACTGAATTGAATTGAATTGAAATTGAAAGGGAATGGGAGACAGAGAGCAGAGGGAAAGGGAACAAACAAGACTATGGGCTCTAATGTGTAAATATACTTAGCGTTTAGTAAATGCTTTTTTAGCTAACATAAGGATTTTGTGGCTTTTATTAGTTGTTTATCGTCTAAACGCATAACACGGTATTGTTTTTAGTGCCTTTTTATATAGTAGGGGCTCATAAGGGGGAATGGGGTCTCACAAAGTTTGCGTTGGCTTGACCTGTAATTGTCAAAAAAATAATGCATTAATAAGTGAAATTGGAAACCACTGGCCCTGCAATGGTTTGTATGGTTTGAATCGGGCTAACGTTTAACCTAATATCCAATACATCATTCTCGCATACATTACATAATTTGCTTTTCAATCAAAATTTTAGACTTTTTTGGCTCTCTCTTTATCTCCACTATCACTCTCTCACACAAAATGTTTTTTATACACAATTTTATTAACGGATCAAATATCGCAAACAAATGAGAAACAATTATTAGTTTATGAATAATATTAGTGTATTATATTTATATTATAATGCATTTATACGGTGCTATAGTGTATGGTATCATAGTTTTAAACACACATTACATTCAAGGCTCGCTTTAAACTAATTGAACGCATAATTTATTTTTTATTTCCTCTCCTTTCCATTCAATATATTTCAATGTTAGGCATATAATCAACTTATTGTCCATTAAGTAATTTGTTGGTAAAGAGATATTTACTTAAATATATAATGATTACAACCATTTCATAACCATTTTTAAACAAAATCTATAATTCTCTCGTTTCCTGACCACAAATAAAACACTATTATATCGTATGATATGATTATTGTTATTTACTATTCATAGAAAATTTTATTTTATTTATTTACTCTACTATTTGTGTGTTTCTCTATTTAAATGATTATTTTAATAGCGTTTTGCCGAATAAATAATATATTTATTATTTGCAAATGAGTGGCACAACGAAACCAAACAATACTATTAATAATACATCACATCATATAAACTATACAATAAAATAGTATACAATAAATAATTTTCGTATTAAAACTACTATAGCATTAATAAAAATAAAGTTGTGTAAAGCGTTACCATAAAACGCTTTTAAAAACTAAAAAATAAGTTTTTTTTCAATTGTAAATTGTAGTGAAAATGTCACAAATTTATATAATCACCAACTTTTTAATCGTATTGGGAGTGCAATACTAGCGCTTAATATTGTTTTAATGAAATATTCGTGACTCTCGTTTAAAATCGTTTATAACTTATATATAATATATATATTTGTTATATATGGTATTATTTGAGTCACTTTTTTATTTAAATGGCATTTTTGTAATGTTATTGTTATTGCGTTTATATAACAATATATTATACAATAAGGCATTGCATTTGTGTTGTATCGATAATCTGATGCCTGCCTTCCCATATCGTAATGTATGTCTTAATAATGTCACCACAACTTGTGATTAGACATCAACTGGTCTTAAACTATACGATACATACAAACAGTTATATTATGGGAGAGAATGTGAACAGAATTCACAAGAAGTGCAAATAAATATATAAATTATATACAAACAGAATATACACTCTTTTATATTATATTACTTTATGTATTGATCTCAATCTGCTATACCATTGACTGCCCTTTAAATAAGACAATCAAAATAAAGACTCAAATTATTATTAACTCCAGTTATGGGAGAGAGAGAGAGAGCCAAAAAAGTCTAAAATTTTGATTGAAAAGCAAATTATGTAATGTATGCGAGAATGATGTATTGGATATTAGGTTAAACGTTAGCCCGA